CTGTTTTCAGCAATCGATTACTGATCACCCAGGCATCTGAACCTCCTATTTTGAAACTGATTGCGCAACGGTAACCGTTAGAAACCGCTACAAAGCTGATTGCTTCGCCACTTTGCTATGCTGTTAGCTTGCTAGCTTTATTTTATTTACCACTGGTTCGGAAAATACCTCTGTCCTGGGAAGAACCAGCAAGAAACCCAGCGGGACTTTTTTTTAAACATAATTTCACTTAACAATTATTTTGTTTATACAATTTTAAATGAATTTTCATAGAACCAGCATGGTGGCGATCACCTTATTCCCAGGGGTTATTTTCATTCATGTATTCCTTGATATTATAATAACCCTTTTTGTACAGTTTTTCTTTAATAAAACTTTTAAACTTGTTTATTGACAAACTTTGAACATGTTCTGGAATTTTGTTGTAAAAGCGTATACATTGCCCCATAAATGAATTACTAATTCTGTGGAGTCTAGTAAGTGGCATTACAAGCTTATGTTTGTTCCTAGTGTTTAGGGTATGAACATCCTTATTCTTATTAACTGGTGATCCAATTGTGCAATTGGATCACCAGCTTCCTTGCAGATCGGAGCACCAAGGTCGTTGTAGACGGTGCATGCTCTGACTACAAGCCTATTAACGCTGGTGTTCCACAAGGCTGTGTGCTATCACCAACGCTGTTTCTTCTGCATATCAATGATATGTTGCTAACTGGTAACATTCATTGCTATGCGGATGACAGCACTGGTGATGCTCTATACACCGGAACAAACATGTGTCTGAAGTCGAGTCTTTGCTGAGCAAAGTCTCGGATTGGGGGCGACTAAATCTAGCCCAGTTTAATCCTCAGAAGACACAAGTTTGCGCGTTTACCGCTAAAAAGAACCCCTTTGTCGTATCTCCTCAGTTTCAAGGCACTCCCCTTCTTGCCTCAGCCAGTATCGGTATCCTCGGAGTCGACATATCGAGTGACGTGCAGTTTCGTGGTCACTTGGAAGGGAAGGCCAAATTGGCCTCTAAAAAGCTTGGCGTGCTCAGCAGAGCGGGACAGTATTTCATGCCGGCACACCGCCTGCAACTTTACAAGGCGCAAGTTCGGCCTCACATGGAATACTGTTCCCATCTCTGGGCAGGGGCTCCCCAGTGCCAGCTCCTTCCACTTGACCGCATCCAACGCAGAGCTGCTCGAATCGTCGACGACCGAGCCCTTTCCGATCGGCTCGATTCATTGGCACTGCGAAGAGATATTGCATCCCTTTGCATTTTCTTTCGCATCTACCATGGGGAGTGCTCTGAGGAATTGTTCGGATTAATCCCAGCCGCCAAATTTCACGAACGCATATCGCGGCAGAGCCACTCCCGATACCATCCACACCATCTGGATGATTGGCGGTCCACCACTGTGCGATTTAGAAGATGTTTTCTTCCTCGCACGACCTCCTTGTGGAATCGATTACCATCAGCGATTTTTCCGGACCGATACGACTTAGGGACCTTCAAGAAAAGAGCGTACTCCTTTTTAAAAGGCCGGCAACGCATCTGCGATTCCCCTGGTGTTGCAGTTGTTCATGGGCGGCGGTAGTCACTTACCATCAGGTGAGCCGCATGCTGGTTTGCCCCCTATCTCCTATAAAAAAAAATATTAAAGCTATTTATGTTTTTATGTACATACATTACATTTTCATAAATATATTGCGATGCTAAAGTCAATATGTTTATTTCTTTAAATTTTTCTCTGAGGGACTCTTTACAATTTAGATTATAAATCGCCAGTACGGCTCTCTTTTGCAAAACAAATATAGCTTCAATATCAATCGCGTTACCCCATAGCAAAATTCCATAAGACATTACGCTATTAAAGTAACTAAAATACACTAACCTAGCTGTCTTAACATCTGTGAGACTTGTAATCTTTCTTACAGCATATGCTACAGAACTAAGTCTGCTTGCTAATTTAGATATACGGGGGCCCCATTGAAGTTTCGCGTCAATAGTAATACCGAGAAAAACAGTGGTATGCACAAGACTCAACGCCTCCCCATTTAAGAGCACATTGGATTTCGAATGTTTTACATTAGGTATTGTAAATTTAATACATTTTGTCTTATTGCCGTCTAAGAGCAAATTGTTGGCGTTAAACCAATGTACTAGTTTCGATAGAGCATTATTTACATCGTCATATTTAATTGACTGCCGTTTCAGTTATTAACAGTATTGTGTTAACAATATTGTTAATATTATTCAATGAGAGCATTAACTTAATATATCACACTCAATATACACACAACTTAACAAAATCCCAGAAAATATACAAAACCTGCACAAAGTTCAAAAACTTTAATAAACTAAGCTTGTATATAAAGGGTTATTAAAATATCAAAGAATTTATTGATGATAATAACCCCTGGGAATGAGGTGATCACTACCAAACTATTTATAACTTTTTTGTGTTGTTAATTGTGTTACATACATGATTGTAACAGTGGCGTAGCTAGGCATGGGCGAAGTGGGCCCTCGCCCACGGCCTCTCACTTAAAGGGGCCTTGCGAGGCCCGCTAAAATGCGGTGCCCCCAGACTTTACCACAGATGACTAATTAATTTGATCACTTTTACGCTCGAAAAAAAAGTCACAAATTAATGCAAGTGTGTTTGTTTGGGACCTCGCAAGAAGCTCCTCTTAAATGCGACTGTGAGGCCGTTGTAACTACCAAAACTTCAAAGACCGCGATTGTTACATTGACGGAATACGAGACTTGTCAGGAATTTATACATATGAGGTAGGTACGAGGGCGACACTGAAAGTTCTTAGAAAATCAAAAACATAACAAACTAGCAAGTTATTTTTTTTTATTGGATAGGATGACAAACGAGCACACAGTCCACCTGATGGTAAGTGGTTGCTGTGACCTATAGACATCTACATCTATTCTCAATAAAGAATCAAAATGCAGATATATATTTATTATATCTTTTCAAAATAGTGTCCATTTACATCAATACATCGCTGCATCCGATGGAACCACTGAGAAAAGCACTTTGCCCACTCGTCCTTAAGGGTCTCTTCGACGGCATTTTGAAACGCAGCCACTCCTTCCTCGGAGTCCATAAAACGCTTTCCTCGAAATTTTTCTTTTAATTTCGGAAAAAATAAAAATAGCAAGGTGCGAGGTCGATGCTATAGGGCGAGTGACTCAGTAATTCCACGTCTGACGTCACCAAGTAGTTCGATTGTTTGTTTAGCGGTGTGCGTCGAGGCGTTATGGTAGTGAAGGAGGACCCTGCTGCGAGGCCGTTTCTCCCAAACTTTTTCCAAGACAAGTGGCAAACAATTGTTAGTGTACCACTCTGCAGTAATTGTTTTTCGATCTTCTAAAACAATAATGACTCGTCCTTCCGAAGAACGAGGCCACCATCTTTTTTCCCGCGCTTCGACCTCTCATCACTTTAGTTGGCGCCTCCTCGGAAGGAAACACCCAGACAGCAGACTGTCTCTTAGTTTCAGGATCATAACAATAAGCCCAGCTTTCGCCACCCGTAAGTATGTCGAACACAGTATTTGAATCACCTCCGTTAAATCTTTGAATCATTTCCCGACACCAATCAACACGACGGAGTTTTTAGGCCTTTGTCAAATCCTGAAATATCCACCAGGCACAAAGCTTCCTGACCGCTAAATGTTCATAGAGAATTTTGTGCACTTGACTCATACCGATGCCTAAGCTTGTACGAATCTGCTGATAAGTCACTCTTTTGTCAGTCTCTATCATACGCCGCACAACACTGATGTTATCTTCAGTCGTCGCCGTAGAAGGCCGTCCCTCACGCAGATCATCAGTGAGATTAGTGCGACCACGTTTAAACTCATTAAACCAGTTGTAAACAGTGGCACACGATGGGGCTTGATCGTGAAAGGTCAATCCAAGTCTATCATAACTTTCTTGTTGACTTAAATGACAAATTCATAAAAAATCATTGTACCAAAATTTTCTCGCGTTAAATTCATGCTGATGTGACATAGACAATTTTGAATTTGCCGCCAAATCGTAAACAAATAACAAATTAATAAAATACATACACAATAACATTGGCAAAGAGTTCCATTTTCAATGAACTTTTTTTTTTATTATGTCGTTTACAAGTGGCCAGTTCTAAAAACATTCAGTGTCGCCCTCGTATGCTGTGTCAAAGGATGTTTGGTAGGATAGATCTATTGGGTAGATCCTTGGAACGAAAGAAAATGGGCCTCGCTGATGCAATTTCGTCCTCGTTTATATTAGTCCACGCTACGCCTCTGATTGTAAGCTGTTAATTAAAAAAAAGTCCCGCTGGGTTACTTGCTGGTTATTCCTAGGACAGAGGCTTTTTTTCGAACTAGTGATAATTAAACAAAAGAGTGACTTTCAATAAGTATTATTTGCAATCTATATTGAATAAAAAAGTTTCTGTTTCTGTATAATTATGAATAACTAGCTGACCCGGTGAACTTCGTACCGCCTAACAGTCGATTCTTTAATTTTTTTTTTATTGACAAATATTGACATTTATATTTATACGATACTAACGTTACTCAATTGTTTTGCCTTCCCGGAACCCCTCCACTAACACTTAAACTTTATGGTATGGTATTAAATTTCAAATTGACTTTTAAGTATTATTACGAATCTTTTGTATGGGCATATAGAAAAGTGTTGTTTTTAGATTTTTTCAGGCAATTTTTTAAATTTTTCTACGTAAGAACCATCTTCGTACTTCAAGGAATATTATAAAAAAAGAATTAACGAAATCAGTTCAACTGCTCTCGAGATTTGCGCTTAGCAACACATTCAGCGATTCATTTTTATTTGAGTTTCGGTGCCGCCGAAGGTTCGGCAGATTTTTGCCGAAACCGAAACTATTACCGAAACTAGATTTTTTGCCGAAACTTGCCGAAACCGAAACCGAACCTTCGGTCGGTCACTAATTATCATTAAGAAACGTTACAAAGTGACAAGCACTGACCAGCCGCGATCCAAACGGCGAAGCGCACCCAGGTCATGTAGTCCAGGTTGAGCATCAGGTACACGTTGATGAGGATGCTGATGCCCGGCAGCCACGGCACCAGCGGCACCTGAGTAGTAGACGAACATGTTTACTCAAATGTAACAAACTATGCTATTTGTTACATTTGAGTAAACTATGGTGGTGTAAGAATATCTACCATCCCATATGGTCCCGTGGGTGTCTTAAGAAGTGTCAAAGACCTGCACTAGACTAGTAGAGCTGCAGGTTTTTTAAGTTCTATGCGGACGAATCCGCGGTTAAACGCTAGTCTAGAATTAGTGTATGATGTTGTAATGATAGGTGTATTAAGAATTTTACCACCATTACTTTTATATAAATAACTTCAAAACACGAAGATTTTGTCACAATTTTGCATATTTCGAACCAAAGCGAGAAAGGTTGGGCTTTTTTGTCCACTTGATAATGAAAAACACTACAATTTTTATTATTTAAAACCGCACTTATGCGTGAAGAAAAACACATTTAGATGAAATACTAATGAACAGTATAGTAGCAGTGTATGAATATCCACTACCACATGTCGTCCCGTGGGTGACGTAGGAGGCGACAGTGGAAAATTGAAACAGTATATTTCCGATAAAAACTCAAAATAAAAATCTGTGGTTGTCAACCCGCATTCCAAGCGTGACAACTGTGGTAAAATCTTCTTTATGAGTTAATCTATGGCGGAGGTTTATGTTCAACAGTGGACTTTTATAGGCTTTAATGGTAAGATTCTCTTTTTCTATATAGAATAAAGGTGACAAATGAGCAAACGGTTTACTTGATGGTAAGTGGATCTGTGGTCCATAAATATCTACATCTACCCTTGATTAAGAATCAAAGTGTAGATGCGTTGCCACCGCTGAGGACTAAGGTAAAATGTCTCGTATACAGCAAGTCTTCGGTTCTTTACACTCACATACGAAGTGCAGCAATTTAACGCTGGTATTCTGTGAGAGCGTGGTCTTTTCCCGGTTGAGCTGACACATTCGTGCAACAATTATAATATAGTTGCAGCGTGGCTCTATCAGACCGTTTTTACTGATATTTGACAGGTGTGTTCGTTTGTACTTCTTTTTCTAAAAAAAAAAAAACACACACACACACACACACAATAATTAAGTTTACTCACCGAGAATGCGAGTTTCTTCTCAGAGACGGGCTGGCGGGAGAGCGCGTAGAGCGTGGCCAGCACCAGCAGCGCGCCGGCCGCCAGTGCGGCGATGGGCCCCCCCTCGCCCGCGAGGATGGCGTCTCCGTGCTGGTTGATGCTGATCATCATTACGAAGCACCACACGCCTGCAAACGCCACCGTTTCATCATTGCAAACTGCACACCACATACTTATTTATTTATTTTAAAACAGTGTACATGCTGGCTTACAGTATGCCCAAAACGCTAGCATGCTAATTTACAAATTACAGTTTTAAATAATAAGTAATAGTACAAAGATACATGTCCAAATAAAATTAAAAATTAAAAGATACATGCCAAATAGATTAGATGTCAAATAGATTACATCATGTCTAATAAAGTAAGCAAAATATCATTGTCAAATTAACTAACCTAAGATAATTTAATATATTACAATACGTCAAAATTGGACGTCAAAAATAGAAGGGCTTTATTGCATAGTTGCCTAAAGCTATCAGCAAATAAGTCAGTGTCGTAATCATGTGCGAGCATATCTCCAACAAGCCGCCCGGCGCCAGCAGTGCGCACCTGGTGCGCGCCGCGGTGCCACCTCCCTCCGCATCACCGCCCAGCATATAACATCTTATTTCTGTCCATGGGACGACGCTATAACTACATTTAGTTTACAGCACGAATATTCAGTCTCAACCGGGGAAGGACAAGACTCTTACAACAAAATAGCATAAAATAGCAATTTAATACTGCTGTGTTTTATACAATTTTACTCCTCAAAGGTTTTGTTACGATAAGACGCGTGTAAGATAGTGCGATTTACCATCTAAGGCTGCGTCACCTCTTACCACCAGGTGGGATTGTGGTCAAGCACTGGCTTATAATAAGTAAAAAAAAAAAGGTACAAGACATATGCGTTTTAATTCTTAATCGAAAATAGATATACAAAGACAAACGAGCATACAGTCCACATGTGGACTGTATAGTCGTTTATCACTGTTATTCTATAAAAAAAAAACACTTGCAAAAAATGTTATTCAAAGGAAGTTGCAGATGAGTTTTCACCCCTGAGAACTGAGATGGAATACCCCACAGCCTGTAATTTTACTGGTTCTCTATACCCAGTTCATATAATTCTTGTGTTACTATCTAAATACATCTCTATATTCAGACCGTAAAACAATAATACAAGCACAGCTAATTAACAGTAGAAATAAACAAATAAATAGCACCTACCCAAACAGACTCCCAATCAAAAAAGGAGACCTAACACCACTAAAATTCTTTCATATAAACAGAACGGCTTATATATAGACGGACTATCTATAGGTCGGTAATTAATATCCAGCTCGAAGGACCATTTACTATTGGGTGCAGGAGCCTATATTCCAATCGGAATATATTAATTTATTTGAAAGATTCTAAATAACAATTCAAGATTTCAGTTTACAGTTTAATATGAGAAATAGATAATAATTAGAAAGAACTTGGCAGAACCTTAGGGATGGAATGGTAAGTGCAGCGGAAGAAGTGTGCGGAACAATAAAAAGAGGCAGTAGTAAAAGAAGAGATGCATGGTGGAATGATGAAGTGAAAGAAGCTGTAAAGAAGAAGAAGAAAGCATGGTTAGACTACTTGGCCTCTAGTAATGATAAGGATATGAGAGAGAAGATGAAAGAAAGATATAGGCTGCAGAAAGTTCACACGAAAGCACTGATTGAGGAAGTGCGTGAAAGGTGTAGAATGGAAGCGGACGAAAGGTTGTCGCACAACTTTAAGGAGAACTCCAAACTCTTCTGGAAAGAGGTTGGAAGGACCCGAAGTGGTGCGACGGCCTTAAGAATGAACAAAGTGCTTTCGAGAACTAATGACGTCCTCTCAGAAAAATCGGACGTCATGCAGCGATGGAGCGAATTTTATAGAGAAATGTATGCGTGTGATGATCTTAGTGAGGGATCCGGGGATGACGCCGTGACTGGTACGCCAGACCCGGACCTCGATGACACTGAGGTCATCAGGATGAAAGAGATTGAACGTGCGATTCGAAGTTTGAAATGTGGTAAGGCTGCGGGACTAGACAGAGTTACTGCTGAAATGGTCAAGTATGGTGGGCCTCGCGTCTGGGACAGCTTTCATCTGCTGTGCAATTTGTGCTGGCGGACGGGGGATGTCCCGGATGATTGGCGATCCGCAGTCATTGTGCCTTTATATAAAGGTAAAGGTTCACATTTTGACTGCGGGTGCTATCGGGCGATCAGCTTGACCAGTTTAGCAAGTAAGGTTTACTCGAAGGTTTTGACACGTAGGATGCAAGAGAAATCGGAAAGATTTCTATGGGAGGCACAATGCGGATTTAGACCTGGAAGAGGATGCACGGATCAAATGTTTTCTCTCCGCATGATCACGGAGAAGCTTCTGGCTGCTAACCAGAAGATTTTCTGTGCTTTTGTGGATCTTGAGAAAGCATTTGATAAGGTTGTAAGGAAGAAAATGTGGGAACTGTTGCCGGGGTATGGTGTGGATGGTCGATTGCTAAGGGCTGTGCAGTCTCTTTACTGTGACTGTAAAGCCTGTGTGCGGGTAGGACATGACCTGTCACCCATGTTTAACGTCCAAACGGGCGTAAAGCAGGGTTGTGTCATGTCTTCCTGGCTGTTCATACTGTATCTCGACAGCTGTTTACAGAAGCTGAAAGATAGTTGTTTGGGTGTGAAATTGGGTGACATTAAAGTAAATTGTCTGCTGTATGCTGATGATGCAGTGCTTATTGCACCATCAGAGGCAGAACTGCAGGCATTAGTCACGTGTATGAAAGAGGAATGTGAAATTAAAGGTCTCCGTTTGAATGCTAATAAAACTAAGGTTCTGGTATTTGAAAGGGACGAAGAGAGAACGAAGTGTGAAATATGGGTAAATCAGGAATGTCTAGAACAGGTAAATGAAATTGTATACTTGGGGAGTGCTATTAGCCGGGATGGAAGATGTGATTTAGATGTGGACAGGCGTGTCGCTGCCGGGAACAAAGTCAATGGTGCCCTGACTGCGTTAGTCAAAAGGCAAGGCGTAGCGAAGAGTGCACGCCTTGCAATACATAACGCAGTGTTGGTACCGACTTTGTTATATGGCAGCGAAACCTGGGTATGCCAGAAGAAGCATAAAAGCAAGTTGAATGCAGTGGAGATGCGATCTCTTCGTAAAATGTGCGGCGTTACCATGGCCGACCGAAAGCGAAACGAAGAGATTCGCAATATGGCAAGTTTGAAAGATGACCTTATCACAAAAATTGATAAGGGCGTGCTTCGGTGGTTTGGGCACGTTGAGCGAATGAGTGAAGACCGAATGGTGAAGAAAATATATAGCGCGAAAGTTAATATTAAAAGGGTTCGAGGTAGACCGAGACTAACCTTCGAAGGCCATGTGAGCAAATTGCTCGAAGAGGGTAGGGTCAAAAGTACTCGGATACCTAGACGTGCATGCATGAAGAAGATAATGAATCTGAAAGAAGCGAAAGAGGTTTGTAAGGATCGTGACACTTGGCGATCTGTTCTCTCTGGCTACCCCGTCAGGGATTGTGCGTGAAGATAAGTTAAGTTTAAGATAATAATTTTATTTGCACTAGATATATGTTTAGAAATATAACAAATTATATATTATATATTGCAATGAAACAAAATCCATCACCTTATTTCGGTCCGTAGGTGTAAGAATGTCGGTAAGAGGAGATAATATATACGAATAATGCTAAAATAATCTTATGAGTTTCGATATACAGGGTATTTTTGGAACGCTCCCGAAAACTAAGACAGGCGACAGCACCAAGTATACCTTTGATCATGAGTCACAAATAAATTTGATCCTGATGAAAAAAAAAATCATATTATTACAACGTTTTATTAGCTTTATTCACGCGCCATCATGTTAGTACAGCTAAATGAAACGATAATTTCATTAAAAAAATCATGAAAATACTGAAACATAAAACCAGCAGTGGAAACTGAATTCATATCACCTGACTAATGGAGGTTAATGTACGCGCGAACGGTGAAAAAAGAACGCTGGCCTTGAACTTGGGCACTGAGCGATTTATCACATATTGGTACGAAGGGGGCGCGACGGGGGAAAAATCCGCCAGTATTAGTGTGCCTGCATGCTATTGGTTCCCGCGCTTTGTTCGCTCCAAAAATACAGTCGCATACACAGCTTACTTTGCGACTCGCGACGATGTTTTAAAAAGGAAGGAAAGAAAAATTATTTATATCTATTGTTTTATGACTAAACTAGTAAACGAAAAGGTAAATATGATAGGAGAAGGTGAATGGGGAAAATTGTGCAGTAAAGTTAAAAGTGTTGAGGAAGAATACCGAAAAAATTACCATGTGATCGACCTGATGACGGAAGCTCAAGCGAAGATGAAAGTGATGATGAAGTAGCATCCAGTAACACCAATACACCATCAACATCTGGCTTCCATGTGACCCAAGACGTCATAATGGACGGCGTGTCACCCTTAGCTTAAGTTTTCTTGTTACAAACTACTTTATATTTTACAATAGAAATAACAAATAATGCTCAAGTAAACATTATCCATTTTTAATTCCCACCTCTTCCAAAGTTCTAAGTAGCTAGTAAAACACCTATTATGATTCTACAATAAAACAATTAATTACTATAATATTATAAAACAATAGCCCAATACCATGTAGTACTTTAGAACGCGACTGTACCCACACTCCCTCCGCTGTCGACCTGTATGTAGCTCGGTACGAAACAATGCTGCGGTCATAAGAAAAAAAGGCGCATCTAACAATTTTTGAATAAATGAGTTAAATATACCATTCGACTCATGATAAGAAGGCGCAATTACTAAATTTTTTTAATATTCACAAATATCAATATTTTAGAAATTATCGTAAGAATTTTAGACGTAACTGTTGATCACAGATGACATTTTTTTAGTAGAAAAGACTTATATAAATTCAACATAAAAGAAAAGACTTATTTAACCAGTTGCTACGTCATCTTTAACAATATTTGCATCGATTACTTAAATTTCAATTATTCATGTCTTATTATTCTATATCTTATTATTAAGAGCTTATATCTTATTATTAAGAGCTGGTGTTCCACATGTGGTCCCATGTAAATTTGATCGAGGTCAGACCAATAGTTTTTGAGTTATCCTTAATTATTTATATTAAAGTCGGTTGTACAAAATATTTAATTTTTAATTATTATCGTAGTAAGTCTTGTATGATATCCCCTTTAAAATCATTAATCAAGAGTTGCGGGTTGTTATTTTTTGTGTCTCACTACCAATGCTTTTCTAATATTTACTAAGAAAAAAGTAGTAAACTACTATTAATTTTATTAGCGTCCTTTCAACTTTAAATGACCTTTCCAAAATATGTAAAAATGTTAAATGAATGGCAGTTTTTATTATATTTTTGATAATTTGTTATTTAAATAAATAAACAAATTATCAAAAAAATAAGTTCGTCCTTAAAATCTTCATGTCTCTACGTATATATTTCAATTTTCATATAGATACCTTTTAATATACTTTAGACACGGGGTCTGAAAGAAAAATTCATCAATTTATTTTTTATTTCCATTTTACGTTTTTGTTAGTTGCGTCCTTCTTTATTATGACGGTAGAATGTAACCCGGCCGGCTCGTGTCGCCTCACACTGTGACGCAGTAGGTTTCAGTTTTGTCGGGGTTCGTTATTAATTGTAGTTTTTGAAACAGTTCCGTCTTGATTTTGTACACGTGTGCGCGAGCGACAGCTCAATCGTTTTGTTTATTAAATTGTTATTACTTGTGATTACGTGTTGGTATTATTCTTGTTGTTACGTTTTTTGTTTTAATAATGCTTAACGCGTACGTTTATAGTGATTGTGAATACGGCAACATGTTAGGTATCCGAACCTAGGTACACGAAGTATCGCTAAATAAATTGTTAAGACGTCGGGATGGAACAAGTGTGTCATACTGTGCAGTGCACAAAGTGTTGAAGCGTAACCGAATGCGCCCATACAAATTGCGCAAAGTGCAAGCTTTAGTTCCCGGCGATCACGACCGCCGACGAGTTTTCTGCCGTTGGTTATTATACCAGCAACAACGTGTGCCTGTTTCCATTGAGCACATTATCTGGACGGATGAGTCGATATTTACCAGAAACGGCCTGTGGAACCGAAGAAATACACACGTGTATCCGCACACTGTTCGACAAACCGGGCACCAAACCCGATGGTCGGTTAACGTATGGGCAGGTTTATTTAAGTACCGCATACTGGGACCAGTGTTTCTGCCAGAGCGACTGAACGGACAGCGATACCTAAACTTCATAAATGAACAGTTGGTTGACATTTTAAACGACCTATCGTTGGTTGAATATCGCCGCACATGGTTCTAGCAAGATGGTGCCCCTCCACATTCCGTGAGGTTCGTCCGTGAGCGCCTCAATGAGCTATTTGATGATCGCTGGATCGGCAGACTAGGACCACACGCTTGGCCACCTCGCTCACCAGATCTGACCCCGTTAGACTTCTTTTTGTGAGGTATGTGAAAGAAAGGGTTTTTAATCGTGAGTGTGATAGTGTTGACGAAATGCGCCAAAGGATCGTGGATGCTTTCGAGAAACTACGTACGGACTGTGTCGAAGACCACACGATGATGCCCCGCCTGCACCCAAATCTACCTTGAAATAAATGGAGCACAATTTGAGCCGCATCTCATAAGACCACGGAGGATTTAGAGCGGTAAGCTGTTTCATAACTATTTTTTTTAAATAACTTAGTACTAGACTAATCTGAATAGGTACATAACTGAATACATGAGAATAATAAACATACCTACACGATGAATAAAAACGCATGACTCCAACCTTGGTTACATTTCATTTAAGTATTTTTTCATTAGCGGGGAATTGAAACAGTTATTTGGGTTATTTAACCTGTAAATTCGGATTAAAGTGGCTACGTGGAGACAAGCACAGTGGCAAAATAGTAAGTTAAGTAGATAAGTTAGGTATTTAGACAAGTGTTGTAAATTATTAGTTATTGTGGTATGGCCCGCTAGTTGCGGGCCACGCGAATTTGCGTTCGCGCGTACATATTGACCTTTAGTCAGGTGATATCAATTCAGTCATTCCACTGCTGGTTTTATGTTTCAGTATTTTCATGATATTTTTCATGAAATTATCGTTTCATTTAGCTGTACTAACATGATGGCGCGTGAATAAAACTAATAAAACGTTGTAAAAAGATGATGTTTTTTTCATCAGGATCGAATTTATTTGTGACCCATGATCAAAGGTATACTTGGTGTTGTCGCCTGTCTTAGTTTTCGGGAGCGTTCCAAAAATACCCTGTATATCAACATCAACGGTATAGCCATGACATTTACAGCAGACGTTAAATACCCAAACGACCAGCAACGTCCAAAGTGTCGTCAATCCGCTTGGCAAGCTTGACATCATAGCAAATTCTCCCATAAGAGAGACTCACGTGACTTTTATGTGCTGATGATGAAAATATTTCTGCCGAAGAATCCGTCTGTATAAGTAGCTCCCTCTGCCCTATTTCACTGCTGTGTTGCGCGATGAAGTGTAGTCAGCCCAAAGTGTTATGAAATTTTTCTGTCAAGAAAGTCTCAGTAGCAATCTGCAGTTATGAAGTTGGCGCTGTTTCATAAACCTATGTTGCGCCTGATCATTCTACGGATTACCTTCCCATCAGACTATGAGGGTCAGGGAATAGAGAGTGCACCTGAGTGCCTATTGCGCATACACTCGTGCACTATAATATCTCCGTTTAGACTGGTCGGTGTGATCCAAATTTGGTCCGGAAGACATGATATTTATGATGATCTGACATTATGATGATCTCAGTGCTCAGTGATGACAAGTGTAGCCACTTTCAAAATCCTAAAACAGGTGAATTGCATTTCTAAATATATAAAATACTAACCATAGAGGGCGACGAGCACGGAGACCACGGCTGAACTGAGCCGCGTGGGCGTGGGATGTCGATCTGCGTTCACCAGCTGCCGTACAACGTCACGGAAAGATATGTTCCAAGGTTCCGTTACCCGCTGACCAGACAGACTTCGCTCATATCTGAAAATGTACAGTGTACAGTTACAGAATTTAATATTTATATAGGTGTATATAGAATAGGGGTGACAAACGAGCACTCGGTCCACCTGATGGGAAATGGATGCTGTGGCCTATAGACATATACCTCAATTCTCGACTTAGAATCAAAATGCACATGCTTCGTCACCCCTGATAGTTAAAATGGAATGCCTCACTATACGAAACAGCAGCATTAAGTTACTATTTTACGCTGATGATCTGTAAGAGCGTGGTCATACCCCGGTCGAGCCGCCCCACTGAAGCGCTGGGTAAATGGACATGCACCCAGTGCCTTATAAAAGCACACTCGGGTTTCTCACTAATTACGTTAATAATGCTGTTGGCGCTCCCACGAACCCTGTGCACCAGAGACGCAGTTCTTATGCGAATAAGATTGGAATTAATTTTTTAAAATATAATAAATTCGTGTTCCTTAAAATAATTATGATTTCAAGTTTTATGACCATTTTATTTCATATCTCCACGTCGAACTTGACAGACACAAAGCTTGATTCTGAGCGACCTGCATCCATAGACTTCCTGCAACTCTTACTAGGTCATCAATCCATCTAACGGGAGGTCTCCTAACATTTCGTTTACCGACCTAGCAAAAAGGATCCGTAAGTTGAAGAGGAGCTCGATGAAACGACTACCAATGAGGAAGAAATGCTCAATTGGCAGCCTCGTAACGGTAAGCGCAGTGTAATACGGCTTCCCACTAGATTGAAAGACAACCTGGTAAGATATGCAAGAAGTCAATGGATACACATTGCTCAGGACCGTGCTTTGCAGCAATGCGTTGCTTTAGGGGGAAGCCAAGTTCAGCAGGGGATTTCTGAAGGGATGATGATGATGATGATGATGAAACACAGCCTCTGTACCACGGGAGCAGTGCAATTTTCTACAACTGTCTGTGTGCGTTCGTGCGTTAAAGTTACAGCCTATATACGTCCCACTGCTGGACACAGGCATCCTCTCGCTTCTAAAAAGGTTTTAGGGCAAGAAAGTATTACGCGCGGTACTAATGCGTGTTGGCGGACTTCACGCCTTCGAAAAATGTTTTTTTCTCAGACACGCAGGTTTCCTCAGGATATTTTCCTTCACCTCCGAGCACGTGATAAATCAGCACTTAAGATTAAAATTAACAATTTCACTGGTACCGGTGGGGATCGAACCCGGGTTGCTTGCGTACTGTGAATCTTACAACGAGTGTTAAGCCGAATTCGTGCACATATATGCGTGCGTGCGTGTGATATAATAAAAATGTATGTATTGTAATGAATTGACTGAGATAATAAAGTCATACCTGAGTAGCAAAACGCAAGACGCGACCATAGAGTACGCCAACAGGGTTCCGATGGACATCATGTGGATCAGCTGCTCCAGCTCGAATATCATAGCTAATGTTCCTGTGAGTAAAACAATGCAGGTCAGTGACTAAACTCTGCAGACATTAGAGAGAGACAGACAGATGTAGTTTCAACGTATGAAATACAATAAGGGCATTCACGACTGTACACGCACCTAGTTGCCCAGACTAAGGTCTACCATACAGGGGCCGATACAGCTGTTAGGTTCGACGGACAACTAAGTGTGGGGCTCAAATGCCTATGGATATTTAATATCTATATGGATTAGGTACTTAATGAGACTTACCTGGGTCAGAAGCGAAGAAGGATCACAAGGCTCGTTCAGGCGTCAGGTGTAGTGGATGTGCATGTAAGTAGTGTGTGAGAGGTGTATGTATGTTTAACCCGAATTAGCCCTTTTAATCAGCAGCAACCCTGACTCCGGCACCGCCACCCGGCGTGGTATTCTCCAGTGGTGGCAGCAATGAACAATTTCTTTCTTCAATTCACTATGTCAGTCTATCAACTCTATTGTACATTTAACTAACTTCAAAACGAAACTAAATCCCGTTAATTATAATCAAAAACGTAACACGCGGCACGACTGGTAACGGTGGGTCAAAGTTCACTTCCGTTCACTCCGCAACAAAATATTTCGAAAACCGAACGCGACCTATTAAGGTACTTAACGCAACGGTACAATTAAACATTAACTTCTCAACAATTAGTCAACCCGGCGTCTAATGTTCTAGACTACACAATTCCTCGTCGTTGCACAAATTTGCTAACAAAATCGACACTATTCAGAGGTAACCACGCGGCTCGAGTCGACTCAAAGCAATCAATATACCACCTAATCCGAGGCGGTCTTCATTTACACAATTTAAGTAGCGAAGGAACACGCACGAATACTGAACATCTAGACCATAAAACAAAAACTGGTCGCACGAAATCGCTGCCACGGTCACTACAAATTAGTTACGTTGCGACGGTGCCGCGGCCCTAAAGTTATGTAATAATGCCGTCTAACATGACCATTTTTGGGCCTAAATAACGACTGTTTCGGCCACCAGGGCGGCGCCACTAAGGAATGAGGTGAAATATTTGACAGATTTCATAGCGGGGGAAGATAATTTGTTAGAAAAATGTGGAGATTCATTTTTCTTTATAAAATATTACTTTTTGATAGAGAAGAAAGTATAACGATATGTAAAATAAGAATAGAAGGGAAGTCGAGCAAGTAGATGAGTTTGTGTATTTGGAATGTGTATTTAGCAGGGATGGTAGATATGATAAGCATAATGGTAGATATGATAACGACGAGTGAACGCAGGAAATAGAGTAATTGGCGCTCTACACATTATTCTGGAAAGTCAGAATGTTCATAATGCTGTGTTAGTCCCTACTTTAATGTATAGTAGTGAAAGTTGGGTGTGGCAGAAGCACGAGAGTAGAATAAATGCTGTATAAATGCGGTCATTAAGGAGTATGTTAGAGCTGAATCTGAATGACAGGGTGAAAAATTGTGTCATAAAAGAAAGAGTGTGGTTTGCAATATGAAGTAGTGACCAGAATTAAGAAAGGAATGGTTCGGTGGTTTGGTCATGTAGAAAGAATGAATGAGGAAAGAGTGACAAAGCAAATCAATGTTGTAGAGGTGAACGGCAGAGTCGGGAAGGGACGCCCTAGGCGCAAGTTTATCGACCAAGTTGGCGATATATTGAAAATGGGCCAAATTAAGAGTACCCTTAACCGACGACCATGTATGCGTAGATATATGGATGTGGAGGAGAGGTGTGTCCGGATCGTGCCAAATTGAAATTCGTAGTCTCTGCCTATCTCTCTGGGTGACAGGCGTGAGTGTTTATGTATGTATGTTATGTATATTAGTTACATTTTATATTAATAATAATCAGATAAATAATGGATAAAACAAACTATGGATATTCCTAAAAATATAAAAACAGTTAAAAATGTGTAATTATTTAAAGAATAGAATACTGAGGCATTGTTTTGTGAATTGTGTACGTTTACAATAGAAACCGAAAACCTTTCAATTAATACGCAACTTATCAATGATGATGACACTATGTGACCAACGACATCTGGTGAAGTGTATGATTGTTATAGCCCTCATTGTGCAGTTTCTTATGAGGTACAAAGAACTTTTAACTGGCAAGGAAGCATTCTGTATTACTCCTTAGAGGCACAATGCATCTAGATTTGATTCTTAATCGATGTTAGACTTTCAAAAGGACTTTTAGAAAGAATTACACTCTTTAATTCCTCCCTCTCCTTTCCACCATCGGACAACCAAGCGGTCGGCGGGTCTTCACCCATTTGTTATCAATATTCCACGCATTAGAACCAAACGGTTTGCTTCGTTTTTTGTAATGCGTACAGCAAAAGAGTGGAATAATTTGCCGGCGTCCATCTTTCCGTTCGAATACAATCTGGGCGTCTTCAAGGCAAGAGTGAATAGGCTTTTGATACGACAGTGTGAGTGCAGTTGCTAAGACAGTGCGATTTACCATCTACATCATCACTTACCACCAGGTGGGAATGTGATCAAGTACTGGCTTAGAATAAGTAAAAAAAAGACACTATGATTAAAGTAACAACTTTTATGCGTCCCAGAGCTGGGCACAGGTCAGCTCTCATATCTAAGAGGGATTATGGGCAAGGAAGTGTCATTGTCTGTTCTGTGAATGGTCAGCTTTAGGCTTATTTTTATATATAACTAGCTGGTACCCAGCGCGTTGCAGCCACAGAAGAAATAATTGTGGAAATATCGTTTTAAATTTGAATGAGTTACATTCTTTAAAGTACGCAAGCAAAACCGGGTTCGATACCCACCGGCACCAATGAAATTGTTAATTGTAAATTTAAGTGCTGATTTACCACGTGCTCGGCGGTGAAGGAAAACATCGTGAGGAAACCTGCACGTCGCAACGCGGCGGACACTTCCTTGCCTTAAAACCCTCTCAGAAATAAGGGAGGCCTGTGCCCAGTAGTGGGACATATATAGGCTGTAACTTTACTTTTTTACTCTTATATTCTTTAATTAAGAATGATAATACTTTCATTAAAGTTGAATGATAAATATACTGTAAGTTGATTGTACTACGCCTACAAATTTTGTGCAAGCTCAAGCAATAAGTTGACAAAGTTTTAGCACAATCGGATGAACGGTATGGCAGCGCATAAAATACGAACAAACAAACAATAATTTGTATATATTAGATTGAAGTTACAAACAAATTTACAGTCCACCTGAGTTACTGAAGTTCATGGACATACACAATCAATTTCAAACAAAGAAGATTACAGATGCTTTGTCATCTTTGAGGACCAAGATGGAATAAATGGCTTAAAGATTAGTTGTAAAACGAAAAGAAAACTACAGTTACAATATTACAAACACAATAATAATGAAAACAAAATTAAATACATAAAATACACAAAACTCCTTAAAAAATGTTTTCGCCTGTCTGAAAAAATTAATAACCATGTTTGTGAAAAATTCAAAAAATAAGTGTAAAGCTGCTTGGAAAGTCGTTAAACAGGGATCTTATAAAAGTAATAAAGACTTATTTATAAATGGAATAGAGGTTGACAATAAATTAATTACAGATCCTACTAAAATCGCCGAGTCATTTAATGAATATTTCATTAGTCTTACTAATAGATCTCCCACTAATAAATATATTAACACAAATAAAACTACTATATCTAGCAGTATTTTTTTGAAGCCATATGGTTATGCCGATGTGATGAATATAATAAGGTCATTGAATGACACAAACGCAGTGGGATATGATTCAGTTGCCACGAAAATAATAAAATGTTGCAGTAAAGAATTAGTACAAATTTTAACCTACCTCATTAATCTTTCTTTTACTAATGGCAAATTTCCAGAGAGTTTAAAGAAATCTATAATAAAACCGCTCCATAAAAAAGATGATAAACGTCATATGTGTAATTATCGCCCCATAACTTTAGTGCCTATTTTTTCCAAAATATTTGAAAAAGCAATGTATAAGCGTATAATAGAATTCACCTCAAAATTTAATATAATAATAAATGAACAATTTGGGTTCCAAAGAAATAAATCAACTACCCATGCATGTTTTCATCTTGTAAAAAATGTTGTTAATAATTTAGATGACAAAAACCACACTTCTGTAATATTCATAGATATGAGCAAAGCCTTTGATTTCGTTTCACACAAACTTCTACTAAACAAACTCGACAACTTAGGCATTCGCAGACCGGCATTAAATTGGATAGAATCATATCTTAAAGATCGAAAACAAAGTGTTGAAATTTCAAGGTTAAGTTATTATAAAGAACTTGAGCAGTATAAATCACCGTACCTAATTAATGGCTATGGTGTGCCACAGGGCAGTGTACTTGGTCCACTTTTGTTTTTGTTTTATATTAATGATATCTCTTATGTAACGAATAATTTATTGACTTTATTTGCAGACGATATTGCTATGCTAATGACATGTAACAAAAAATCAGATATTGGTAAATTTGTAAATGACATTAATATTTCTTTGAAATTTATAATTGAATGGTTAGAACATAATAATTTACATATAAATATAAGCAAAACCAAGTTAATACAATTTTTTAATAAAAAAAATAATGAAACAAAGCTAAATATTGTATACAATGGCGAACAAATAAAACAAGTACAAGAAATTTCCTTTCTCGGTATACATATGGATACATTTTGTAACTGGAAAACCCACATAGAAAAAATATGTAATAAACTTAACCGCTTTGTTTACATATTACGGAACCTTAGAAAGACGGCATCGCAATCAACAGCTCTTATGGCGTATTACGGATACGTTTATTGTATACTTAGCTACGGTATAATAATATGGGGAAATTCTGTAGACATCAATAAAGTTTTCATTGCGCAAAAAAAATGTCTACGTGCAATATATAATATGGCCCCACATGAATCGTGCAAACCAATATTTATAAATTTAAAAGTGTTAACACTTCCTTGCATATACATCCTTGAAACAGCAAAATTTGTGAAAAATAATTCTGAGCTGTTTACAACTGCTGGAGATATTATCAAGTCCAAACCCTTAAGGAATCCAGATAAATTAGTCATTGATAAAATACCAAAAACAGTAAATTATCATAGAAATTGCTATGCAATGTGCATAAAAGTGTTTAACGCAATACCCAATAATATAAAATTACTACCAAGGAAGCGTTTCGGGAACGAGTTGAAAAAGTGGCTTGTTAATAAATCTTTTTATTCGGTTAGCGAGTTGTTGGAAAAACAATAATTATCTTTATTTTTATTTTTATTAATAATATTTTGGTAATTATATATTATAATGTGACATGAAATTATAAATATTAATGATATGATAATGCAAATAGTAGTAAATGTTTTTTTTTTTTAATTAGATCACATTATTTTTTGTTTTTGCTATTTCTTATGCAATGTACGTATTTTTTTTGTAATTTTTCATAAATTCATAATGTCATACTTAATGTTCATAAAATTCAATAATTTTGTACACCAGAAATGGTTAATGTGTTGTACTATATTTTCTATAACAACTGTAAAACACACACATTATGCAAAATAAATAAATAAATAAAATAAAAATAAATAAATAAAAATATTTCACAGCCTGGCTCCCCATACCCTTCTGCAAGCACTGTTATTTGGCGGCAGAGTTAGATAAGACCGTGGTACCTTCACAGACCGACTTCTAGACATATAAGAGGTAAATTTAAAATGTTGTACAAACAACTTCAATATGAATATAATTCATTGTTGATTTTTTAAAAACAGCTCGACCGATTTTTATAAAATTTAAATGGGACCAATCTGGGAAGTATACCATTTGAAACAAAAAAAAAATAATTTTCCATGTCGGTTCAGGCGTCTTTGAGTAATCGGTGAACATACATAAAAAAAAAAGATTCCGACGAATTGAGAACCTCCTCCTTTTTTGAAGTCGTTTGAAAAGGAGTCCAACCAACGAGTAAAAGCTGAACTAAAATGCTACTAATTTTAATTGCATTTAGAAACCCATATAAAGAACGAGAGAACGAACCCAAAGAAAAGTATTGCATTTTGGAACCGGTTATCAATATCAGCTACCACTAAATTTATATTATTCTTGAAAAAACACACGAAACCCAAAGTGAAACATTTTTATTCAATATAGATTATAAATTTATAAATAATAGTGGTTTGGATAATACCTCTGTTTTGGGAAGAACAAGCAAGAATCCTAGAAAGAACCTTACCAGTGAAGAGTCCAGCGATCATGGTGCCTACCAGGGGCGTCTGGAAACGCTCGCTAACAGTCCCCATGAACTTGAACAGCAAGCCGTCGGACGCCATCGCGTAGATGATACGCGGCAACGGGAACACCGCCCCTAGAAGACTGAACAAATACAAAATTTGAGCAGGACAGACTTACAGAATTTTTTAGCCAAGAGGTACAATACAAACTTTTAGAAATAACCAAGTACAGGTGGATAACAGATTCTAAAATGTCAATTTATTTAATGTAATTCATAAAATTGTTATCGTTTTGCGTATTGTGCGAATGTTCTCGATGATAAGGGTCAGTGCCCCTTTTGCAAGTTAATGCAAGGAAGAAGCAACCATATGACTACGTGTGTAAAGTCTTTTCTCTTATGGATATTGTTCGTTATGTCATCGCGAGTGTTCTATGTGTTTCCGGTCGAAACAGTGGAATGGGCTGGATTAGCCTAGGAAGTTCTATATTCATTTTATTGAGTATAAAAGCATATTCCGGGAGCGGACTCTACTCCAACTGGAACTCTACTCCGGGAAACCACTTCGAGAATTCGACATACGATATCTGCGATTATTAAGAATCTCACCGAAGAAGCTTAGTTATAATTATATACTTGCTGTTTTTGTGTGAAAACTACATCACTTTTCATCCTAATCGACAGTTTTACTCACCCCGCACGTAACAATATTACGTAATTCACAATATCAATGCCATAATTTAAATTTAATTAATAGAATCAGGCGTTACTTTGCGGAAATCCATTATATAAAAGCTTTTAGAAAAATTTACTTCGCAAATATCCGCGTTATAAAATAAAATGATGTATCTTACCTAGTATGAAGAGCACCTCCCGCCCTCCCTCAATTGCGTGCACTATCCCCGTCACCACTAATCCCAGCACCGTTACTCCCAACACCACTACACTAGGCAAGACACACCACTGACGATAATACGACACGTGTTTCGCCTCTACACGAGGCATCCTCAGGTGATATAGACTCTACGGTGGCTAATTAGCGGTTTTATTTTGAGACGCGGATATTTGCGAATTAAATTTTTCTAAAAGCTTTTATATAACTTAAATTCATTAAATCATTAATCAAAGGTATTATGATATTATAAGAATGATATAAAATTGCACAACTACCTAAAATGATGAAGAAATAATTTAGGATTTACCTTATATATAGACATATGTAATCACGCCTCTTTCCCGTAGGGGTAGGCAGAGACCACTTCTTTCCACTTGTTACGATCCTTACATACTTGTTTTGCTTCGTTCACTTTCATTATTCTCTTCATACATGCTCTACGATTTAGGGTGCTCTTGACCTGGCCTTTTTTCAAGACGTCCCTGATTTGGTCTAGAAACGTCCGCCTAGGTCTACCCCTTCCAACACTTTCATTCACATTCGCCTTATACACTTCTTTCGTCAATCGTTCTTCATTCATTCTCTCGACATGGCCAAACCATCTCAGCATACCTTTCTCAATTTTTGTCACTACATCTTTCAGACCACAAGGTTTCCTTATCTCACTATTTCTTATCCTGCCACTCAGTTTAACTCCTATAATACTTCTTAACGCTCTCATCTCAACTGCATTTATTCTGCTTTCATGTTTTTTCTGCCATACCCAACTTTCACTTCCGTACATTTTTTTATAGGATAGGCTGACAAACGAGCACACAGTCCACCTGATAGTAAGTGGTTGCTGTGGCCCATATACATCTACATTTATCCTCGTTTGCGAATCAAAACGCAGATGCGTTGACACCCGTGAGGACTAAAATGGAATGCCTCTTTTCCAGTAAAAAGGGTCTCCGGTTCTCTACACTCACCAAATGAAATACAGCAGTGTTAAGCTGCTGTTTTACGCTGTGAGAGCGTGGTCCTTCCCCGGTCGAGCCGACCCATTTGTGCTACAACTATACTACTAATTATAGCTGTAGCATGGCTCTACCACGTAAATTTGTACACGAGTGTCGGAACCAACACCCCCTCATGCAGAGCCAAACGAGCCTTGTTAGACACCTTCCGACTGCTCATAAAGGAGTGCAAAGCTCCATTCACCACGTTTCCTGCATTCACTCTTCTTTCGATATCACTCTCATACTTTCCATCTCTTGTATACTATATATAGACCTAACCTTATATATAGACATTTATATTATTATAATAATTTATTTTATACATTTCTTACCTGGAACACAGAGCACAGATGGCTCCAACACTAACGGCATACTTGGCCCACGGCCAGCCCAACTGGTCATAGACAAACGGGAACGGTGCCTTCTCGTCCTAGAATAAACATATTACATTTTTAAGAAATAATTTAATAAGATATTTATAAGGTAACAAAAGTGATATGGAATATGATTATAGTTTTTTTTATAGAATAAAGGTGACAAACGAGCACACAGTCCACCCGACGGAAGTGGATGCTGTGACTCATAGACATATCTATATTTATCCTCGATTAGATACAAAATGCAAATATGTTGTCACCCCTGAGGACTAAAATGCAATGCCTCGTTTCCAGTAAAAGGTATTAATGTGCTATTTCTATTTCACGCTGGTATTCTGTGAGAGCGTGATTCCTCCCCGTCATTCGTGCTACGACCAGCGTAAAATAGCAGCTTAACGCTGCTGTGTTTCGTATGGTGAGTGTAGAGAACCGGTGACCCTTTTAATTGAAAACTAGGCATTCCATCTTAGTCCTCACGGGTGACAACGCATCTGCATTTTGATTCGTAATCGAAGATAGATGTAGATGTCTATGGCCCGCAGCAATCACTTACCATCAGGTGGACTGTGTGCTCGTTTATCACAATTATCCCGTTAAAAAAATTATGCATACCCCGCACCCTTCTGTGTTAGACTAAAGACGACTTACTCAGCAGAATCGTCCTTGTAATGCTGATTAGGACCTCTCAGACAATCATGTAGACCTAAGATAGCATTTACAACACTAAAATTTAGTAAGTAATAACATTAATATTAAATTCTCCAAATCCGCAACACGTAGTTTTAATTGTAATTTTAAGTTACTTTTTAAAAAACTATGTAAGTGCTCCCCAAATTTGACTAGATACTTAGTTTAACTCGTGTTAAGGGTGAATACATATTTGGAATCGTAGCAGTGAGTAATTTTTGTAGCTATCTTCAAAAATATTAGGGTAGTGGATAGTAAGCCGTATGTTCTCCTGTTCAAATCTCACATAAAAATGACAACTGTCAATAAGTGTTGTCAATTATCACTCATTCTCAATCGTAACGCCGTCTCGATAAGATATAGGTCGATATACCTGATAGTTTAATAGCTTTAGCTATTGTAAATTAATAAAAATATTTTTATTTGGAATACACCAGAAAACAGCTACAGCTCCTCCTATAAAGTCCTACCACCTATAGAACACTTGCATAAATAGCTTCCCAGTTGGCTGTAAGGGAAAAAGGACTCTGACCTGCATGTAATAAGGTAGCATTAACGTCAGCACAGACGACACGCCACAGTACGCGAGGAACACTATAAGCAGTGAAGCAACCACAGCAAACGGTATGGTCTTCTGTGGCCTGCGAGCTTCCTCCCCCGCTGTGGCCACGCAATCGAACCCTGCAATGTTATGACAAAGTCTTTAATACTCAATTTTGCTAATAGACTATTCAACACTGGGTATAGTAAGCGATATGTTCTAGGTCTAAATGTCTACATGACATAAACAAAAAAAATCTGGTGGAGACTTTTAGGAGATAAAGAGTGAATTAAGCCGCGGGTCATAAGTTCAAATCAATTCTTGCGCAATATTTAAGCGCAACGTAAATATTTTAATACTCAATTCTACTAATTGACTATTTGGATTGGGTGAGTTAAGCGATATAATTGTTTCTGGTCTATCTAAATTACACAGTAAAAATTTCTGCTGGCATCTTTTAGATAGACTTATAATATAATACACAGATAGAAAGTGAACTTAGCCGCGGGTCATCGGTTCAAATGTAATTAAATTTTTTTTTTTATACAGCCTATATACGTCCCACCCGGGACCTGGGTTCGATCCCCGCCGGCACCAATGAAATTGTTAATTGCAATTTTAAGTGCTGATTTACCATGTGCTCGGCGGTGAAGGAAACATCGTGAGGGAACCTGCATGTCTGAGAAATAAGAAAAAAATTTTCGAAGACATGTTAAGTTCGCCAACACGCATTGGGGCATCGCCGCGGACACTTCCTTGCCCTAAATGAGAGGAGGACTGTGCCCAGCAGTGGGACGTATATAGGCTGTATAAAAATATATATGCCCAATATTTAAACGACTTCAGCCTAATTGTTAAGAGTACAGACTACAGACTTACAAAGTCGGGGGTTCGAATCCCCCATTTGACTACCGTAGTGAACCACTACTAACACAAGCATTTTAAACTTGGAAAAGTTATTGGTAATATTAGCAGGGCTCTGTCACTGTTGCTACCTGCATGAAATAATTACCTACAATCGCGATGCGCCCCCGGGGCAGAACGCAGTCGGGGCTGCCGCGTTCTAGGCGATTGAATGTTAGTTTTTTAACGCTGTTTACGTAAATAGTATTTTCTAAATACCTGATGAAATAATCGTCGAAATAATTTTTTGTTTAGTGTTTAGTATATTTAATTGTATGATAAAATAGTTGAAAAAGTTTTAATGTAATTTAAGAATAATATATAAGTATATTATATATCTATATTATATATCTATTTCATAAATTATATTGACAAAACGTCGTTCCTACTATAATTGTTGTGGAGATGGATGCTTAATGAGATATTTAATCAGATATATCATTTTTTTAAATATATAATGCAAATATAACATTTTTTAAGTTACCGAAAGATAACGAAAGGTGAATTTATTTAATTTTTTTTTGTTATATAGCGAAAAAATGATTAAGTTATAATTTAACTACAGAAGTAATACCTAAGTACCTACTTTATTACAAAACTTAGTTCAAATTTACTTCACTACCCAAGTACCTTGTCTTTTGTAATTAAAATATTTTAAGTTATAATAACATAACATACTGAAATTAAAACTTTGTTTACAAGATTTTTAACTAAGTACACTACGATCACATTTATGTAAGGAATCGTATTTCGAGTTTATTTGTTGTTTACAATATCTACCTATTTCTTACGAGTCTAGCATCGCGATTACCGACGAATGACCTTGCAAGTTGCATGTGTTGGGCATCACAGAACTCACATAGTAGCAAAAATATGATCGATCATAGTCAGAATAGGTACTTTACCTAAGTAACTTACCATTTCACAATGTATATTTTATACTCTTTATTAACAACCCTTAGTAACCACGGAAAGTCCGTTGTGACGTAGGAAGGAGAAAAGATGCAAAGTAATATGGACACTCGTGTGCAGCGATAGTTTTATTTAGCTTGCGTGCGCGATTAATCTTATTAATAATAATTATGTATGCTATTAATAAGTCGGCAAGCTGTCAACATCAAAGGAGTGCAACTTCTGTAGGTAGTACTATTATTTATTCTGTGGTATTAATGATGTAAATAGCGTTACTAGGATTCTTTTTTTTAGAAATAATTTAAAATTGTGAAATCAATTTAAATCTAATTATCAAAAACCCAGGTCTATATCTCTTTCCCCTCGGCTTATCTCAAAAGGAACAAAAGATACACTTTTTTGAGGGGCAGTTTTACAGTGACATTTTTTCTTTAAAATGTTTCACACATGACAATTTTTTTTATTTCTCCCAGAATTACTTACTTAATTTTTATAATTATAAGATAATTAAATATATAATTAACTTAACTTTAAGCTTAAACCAGTTAATTAATATTTGTCTAAATAAAGAATCATAGTCACCAATAAATCCATAGAAGCAAACCGCTGCACCCTTTATAATGCCTGCGAGCCCATACGGAGCGAAACCGCCGCTTCCGAAGTCTTTAGTTTCAGACTTCGGTACTTCGGAAGCCGGGATACGCCAGTTCTTTGTATCAGCTGTAATCACATTAAAATACTTATATATTTAGTTTAAAATAGAACCATGCAGTAAGTAGTGCTGAATAGTTGCGACGTTGTAGATAATCCAGATCTAAGCCTCATTATTTCATGAGTTGTAAGAGGCGACAGAGGAAAACTGATTCAGGGGTTGGGCAGCAGTATCTTCCTGATAACAGCTCAAAATAATACTTGAAAAATAAAAATGATTTTTTTTTACGAACCATGCTGCAGCTATATCAGTAGTATAGTTGTAGCACAAATGGGTCGGCTCAACCAGTGAAAGACCACGCACTCACAGAATACCAGCGTAAAATAGCAGTTTTACGCTGCTATACATGTATGGTGAGTATAGAAAACCGGAGACCCGGTTTACTGGAAACGAGGCATTCTATCTTAGTCCTCACGGGTGACAACGCATCTGCATTTTGGTTCGTGGGCGAGGATGGGTGGAGATGTCTATGGGCCACATTAACTACTTACCGTCAGGTGGACTATCGTTTGTCACCCTTACCTTATCCTATAAAAAAAACTGCGGTTGCCAACCTGCCTGCCAAACATGGCAACTATGGGAAATATCACCCCATGAGGCAGTCTATGTTCAGCAGTGCACTTATGATAGTAATTGAATGAAATGAATATTTAGTAATAATATATATACCAGTGTTTCAAGTTCATTTGTAATCCATAAGATCTTTTTGGCATAGTTTTTGGCATTAGTCGCATCCATAGGACGATATCATTTTCATTTCATCTTATCCGGTCATTCATCATTTCATATATGGGTCTTAAAGGTAGGCAATGGAGATGGGCTGAGTGATGATTTTTCTGTATCAATGACTGCATGACAATGACAAAAAAAATATCGATGACGGGAACAATGACAAAATCATCAATGATTTTTATTTGAGTATAAGATCACGGCACTTCAGTTATGAGTAATGACTAATGAGTAGATACTGAAATGATAGCGGAACGGTTTAATTGCTTAGTGACTTTATCATTTGTTATTTTTCGTAGTAGGCATGGCTCGACTTTGTGAGTTAGTCCGCGAAATTATTTTTTTTTTATTTTGCGACGTTCATGGCAGTGTATATAGGTATTGATTTATAATCATGGAAATCTTCAATATGTTTCCATTTGTGATATTTGCTGCAAGATAATTAAGACGAAAAACTGGATCGCGTTAAAACGCCACCTTCAAGTAATATTCCAATTAGACATGCGCGCCGCGCCGGCGCCGCCGCGCCACGCCGCGCCCTGCCCACGCTGCGCCGCGCCGACAAATCCGATCGGCGCGCCGTAATCCAACGCGGGACGGGCGCGCGGGCGCGGGGTCAATAAAACCATGCTATTATTTAAAAATTCAAAAATCAATAAAAAAATGTAAAAAGATCGTAAAAATCGTTCGGTATCGCTTACCGGAATTGAAGCGAGCGGCGGAAATAGAACAAATTAAATTTTTACAGTCTCTGGAGCGCGTATCAGAACTTTATGTACGAGGGTGGATTGAAAAGTACTCGGCCTAACACATATCCATTCAATTCTAAAAATCAAATCTACCCACATTATTTAGTTCAGTTCAGACTAGTTCATTGTGTGAAGTTCGAAACGTGTGCGATAATTAGTTGTGTTTTTATAAATTTATTAACAAAGTAATCGGACATAATTTCCGCGAATGGAGCAAATCGAGCAGCGTGCCGTCATTAAGTACCTCCATAAGAAGGGGCTATCATCAAAAGCCATCCATGATGACATGGTCAGTACATTAGGCGATTGTGCTCTGTCATATTCATCCGTCAAAAAATGGATAGCAGAATTTAAGCGTGGTAGAGAGAGTGTGAAAGATGAACCCCGCTCTGGAAGGCCTTCGACGTCAACTACTGACGAAAATATTAAAAAAGTACTTGATTTAATAATGGGAGACCGCAGATTAAAAATTAGAGAGATAGCCGAGATTATAGGCATCTCTTATGAACGAACTCAAAACATAATTGTCAACGAGTTGGGTTTCCACAAGGTGTCTGCGAGGTGGGTTCGCGACTGCTTTCAGTTGAACAAAAAAGGACGCGATTGACTATTTCACGCGACTGTTTGGAGTTATTTGAAGCCGATGCAGATGATTTTTTGAATCGTTTTGTTACTATGGACGAAACATGGGTTCATTACTGTACACCGGAAACAAAACAATAATCAAAACAGTGGAGAAGACCTGGTTCACCACCCCCTAAAAAGGGTAAGTCGATTTTGTCGGCAAATAAGGTGATGGCTTCAGTATTCTGGGACTCGAAAGGTGTGATTATGATTGATTATCTTGAAAGGGGTCAGAATATAAACTCTGATTACTACTGCACCTTACTACGTCGTTTACGAGAGGAAATAAAAGAAAAACGTCGAGGAATGCTCAGAAGAAAAGTCCTGTTTCATCAAAATAACGCCCGCGTTCACACGTCAGTACAGTCAATGGCTGAAATTCACAACTGTGGCTTTGAACTGTTACCGCATCCGCCGTATTCACCTGATCTGGCACCATCAGACTTCTTTCTGTTCCCTAACCTAAAAAAGCACTTGGGAGGTCAAAGATTTTCGACAAACGACGAGGTCAAAGCAGCTGTAGACGCATATTTTGACTCTAAGGAAGAATCATTTTTTTTCAACGGTCTAAATGCTTGGAAGGGGAGGTGGCAAAAGTGTATTGAACTTGATGGTGATTATGTAGAAAAATAAAAATATAACTGATTTAGTATTTGTTTATTTTCTTGGTTAGGCCGAGTACTTTTCAATCCACCCTCGTATATAAAAAGTACTCTGTGATCAGAACCGCCAAGTGAGCGCGTTTTTTCTATAGTGGGACTAACTGTGGCTGCTAAAAGATCTAGACTAAGCCCAGTACGCGTTAATAAAATTTTTTTTATTCATGATAATTATACATTGTGCAAAAAACACAATTTTAATTTCCTATAATTTGTGCAAAAAACGAAAAAATGTGCTTTTTCGTTTTTGTACAAATTATAAGGTATAATTAATTAGAACTTGTTTGGTTTGTTTTTTTTTTGAGAAATTAAATTTGAATTCCTATCTAGGTCAATGTTTCACTTGTTACTACCTTATTTTAAACAAATGTTTATAAAAATTAAAATAAAATACGGCCACGCCGGCGCGGCGTCGCCACGCCGACCACAATGGGTCGGCGCGCCGCCGCCGCCAAATTCTTGCTCGGCGCGCATGTCTAATTCCAATCTTACCTTCATGCTTTTTCCAGCCTTAGGACTGACGGAGACTGGCAAAATAATACTAGTAACTAATAAAAAATATATCATTTTGCTTTTCTTTGGCGTATTTAAAAGATTGGTATATTAACAATGATCAAATTGAGGCACCTACTTACTTTACTTCTTGGCAATAATTTTTGTTTTTTTTTGTATATTATATTTGCAAATATTAAGATTTAATAGTGGTCTTTCTTGTCTAAACAAAACAATGATTCACGAAATACTAAATAAATGCTAGCGCACTTCTCGAGTTCCCGCGCAAACCCAAACAATGAAGTGAAACTAACTTCGTTGAAAGCATTGTTGCCGTTCCGTGGGCCCAGTCATGTGGTCGAGTATCTGTGGCGCAGCCTCGCAAAAGTCGCAATGTGGCAATTTGAACCGTAGCGCCCGAGCGATACGGTCCGTCCGAATCATCGAAGTTCGCGTTCATTCATTCGATTCGAGTAATGATTTAAAAGCATTGATGATTTTGTCGTTGTCATTGCACGATGAAATGATTTTAACATGTGACATGATATCGGACTCATCTCTAGTAGGCAGGCCAGTATAATAACTGGTCTTGAGGCATTCTATCTCAGATCTTTGTTTATAATTATAATTTTAAAAAAACCGCCATAACACCACGTTTGGCAGAGCTCCCAGCTCCCCTTTACCGTTTGGCAATGTTTCATCTAACATGACCCTGTCAATTTTCTTGGACGACTCTTAAAATACTCACAAAATGGAGTAACGGATTCTTTTACGCCGTCGTTGTATTGCTAATTTGCTATATTTTTTTTAATTACCTTTGAAAGAGCCAGATATGATCACGAAGAGCACCACACAAAGATTGACCCCAGTGCAGAAGTTATTAAACTTGGTCGACTCCTTAACACCAAACGCGAGCGCGACTGAAAACAAAACTTATTATGAAATTAAATGTGATTATGTAGTACATACTACATATGTAATATTTTCTGACACACTCCATTCCTTTCACCAGATCAGCAGGATTATATAAGTCGCTCGATTTGCATAGACTTATGAAATCCTTATAATAAACATAAAATTATGTATATTTTCTTTCTATAATAACATCGTTTCTAAGTATGAGATAACTATTTGTTTTTAAATTTTCTAAATATAAATACATTCGAACACAACAATAATTGATATTATAGCACATAATAAAAATAAATTATAGTACAATAACAGAAGGATCACTCTCTGATAGCAAAACTTGCGAGTTTAAACCTAGTTACAACGATGGTAATGTTCATAATACTTTGCACGCCTTGGACACGACCTTTGTCAAATTAGCCTACCGATTAAATCGTCGAAAAAAATTAATGCGGCGCACATATTAAATCAAAATTCACCTTACGTCCGCGTGCGAGTCTGTATCACTTAGGCCGTTACGCGCCTTTGTTAAGGCCGCCCCTACTGAAAGGTTAGGTGTTGTGAGAAAACAAATTGAATTCTTTGATATTAGTTGGTAGTAGAATACACCGAGAGAACATTATGTTTCAATGTGAGGAAGGTTAATATGCAACATCGAGAAAAATTAAGATTATAACAACGTGAACGTCTTTGAAAGTCAGATAATTTACTTACTTAACATTTTAACCGACTTCAAAAAGGAGGAGGTACGAGAATGTTTCAATAAAATTTACCCATAATTAAGCAGCTCGTTTAGACGCTGTTTTGGATGATTAATAAAGATGATTATGTTCTGTTCCACGGCTCCAACTTCCTACTTGCATGCATTAATAGAATAATATTCCACTAAAATGAAGGTCTCGCCAAATCATTAAATGTCAATTGGTGAATAAATTAAATTAATATAGAACAGGCAAAGACATTAAATTATTCATAGAGATTTGTGAATTTACACTAACTAGCTTATTTACGAGTGTGTCGTAATAAAGGACAGCACAAAAATGTTTTCTTCAGTTTAGGCTTTTTGTTGCTTATCCTGATTTTTTTAGTGATAATAAAAAAAATTGTGAAGGTTTTTGGCTTGGATGCTTGTTCTTTAAGCCATGTCTTCATTTATCTCAGTATCAAGTGATAATGAGCCAGCAGACAGTTGGGATAGTATCTAAAGATGTCTAAGGAGACAGACACATTATCTTGAGATTCACATCACCATCGGAGCACTTGTTTCAACGTTTCCAGTAACAGTTCACATGCGCAGACATTTAATACACAAAGCGCACCACTTTTACATATCAAAATCCACTTCAAACCATTATTAAACGAAACATCTCTGAGATGATGATATGCATTTTTACTTTTAAGTATTCAGATGTTTTATGAGAATGAACGAATTGAATGAACAGATGGTCCATCAGATGTTAAGCGATAATAGATACCTACGTACTACCACCTTACCACATCGCAACCGTGTCACGCGTCCAGCTATGCGGGTTTCTGCGCCTCCACAGTTTGAAAACTTCTCATCTAGCGAAAGACATCAAATGATTCTGGTATTTCCTAACTTTTGACTTGACCACACCATTGTGAATATCACATGACACAACATAGATTATATCTTACGCTAGCTTTGAACAGAATGTTAACGAAATTTAAGTTGGGTGGACCAAGTAGCCTGTTTAGCTCTGTACACATTAAATAACGCGAGCATTTTCTAAACTAGCTTCTAAAACCTTGGAGCACCTCAGTAATTTACATCAAATTCAATTAAAGTCAGAGTCACTCACCAGAAAACGCCATGATGACGGTAAATGCAAAGAAATCTGGATATCGCGCTAGATGCGGTGTGTTCAAAGGCAAGGCCGCTTCTAATTGCGAAGATATCGCCTTATTCAGTAGGGAATCCAGATATTCGCTGAGAGCCTTGACTACTGACGCAGCACCTAAGCGATCGAACAATGAAGGTAAATTAATGACTTTTAAGTCTACGCGAACACCATTGAAACTAGTTTTTACGGATTTTAACTTGTTTTATATTTCCGACTTTTCGAGTACTTTACAGCACCCATGGTCACAGGGGGACTAAAGTGTTCGACGTCCCAATGTCATAGTTAACTACGGCTACCTCTAGTTTAAAATTATTGATTTTTGACCGTGATTAACAATAACGTTGGGGCGGCGAACACCTCAGATCTCCTCCCCCCCTACCTCCGTGACCTTGGGTGATTTAAAACACTCGAAACGACGAAGAAGGTTAGTTTAAATAATAAATTTAAAAAAAAAACACATTGCTTAAGTTGATAAGTCAGTCCAAAATCTTTGGCTACGCTTTCGGTAGTTTCCTTAGAATTTTCAAGTACTACTATTTACTAACGGTAAATAACGGAAATAAAAATAACCGAAACAGCATTTTTTTAATTGTTTACATAATGTAATTTAAAATTATTTTGTGACTAGTCATTCAGTTCAGTCGATCAGTCTCACCTTAAATGAACGAATGATGGATTCGAAATTCGAATGAACAAAACGGTAAATACCTATAATGTACTCAAGAATGAGATTCCATCCAATTAAGAAAGCAATGAACTCTCCAACGCACACGTAACTGTAGACGTAGGCTGAGCCGGCTTTCGGTACTCTAGCGCCAAACTCGGCATAGCAAAGTCCTGGGAACAACAGAATAAAAGAAATTTAGTGATAATCTTTTTATAGAATAAAGGTGACAAGCGAGCAGACAGTTCACCTGATGGTAAGTAGATGCTGCGACCCATAAGACACCTACAACAATTATCTATTAATAATCACAGTACAGATCGGTGTCATCCCTGAGAACTAAGATGGAATGCCTCGTTTCCAGTAAAAAGGGTCTCCGATTCTCTACACTCACCATACGAAACACAGCAGCATTAAGCTGCTATTTTACGCTGATATTCTGCGAGAGACTACATCCTACCCCGGTCGAGCCGACTCATGCGTGCTATAATCATAATATAGCTGCAACGTGGTTCTAATTGGTAGCGTAAAGCCGCGTATCGATTATGCGCTCCAAGAGGTCGAACATTGGCACGCGAAATGGTTACCGCTTTGGAACGCGCGCCAAATTGTTCGTTGGAACGTTCAAACGTGGAACGGGCCGCTCCATCTGGTGTCAGTTTTTTCCCGCTCACCAAAGTAGTTAAGTTTTGGCGCGCGCGCCAGTTGGGACGTTTGTTTTCATTATTAAGTGGCGAAGCTTGCGAAGTCATTTATTGATTTCACGATGTCTGTCCGTCTGTCCCACGATTATCTCGAGAACGGTTTCGAATTTTAAAATTCTGTTTTCAGCAATCGATTACTGATCACCCAGGCATCTGAACCTCCTATTTTAAAACTGATTGCTCAACGGCAACCGTTAGAAACCGCTACAAATGTGATTGCTTCGCCACTTTGCTATGCTGTTAGCTTGCTAGGTTTATTCATGTGTTCGTTGTGTTCCGAGCTATGGATAACCAAAGTTGCCGTAAATTGATAAAATTATATGATTCAAAAGAACTACTAGTGAATAGCAAAAGTCGTTTTTATCATAATAAAGCGCTCAGAGAAGATGCATGGAACTATGAAAGCGGCAGCTGCTCGTACACCATGTTGAACGGCCAAACACTGGAACGGCTGCCGCGCGCATCAGGCGCGCTTAGTTGATACACTTGGAACATTTGGAGCGTGTTCCGTGGAGCGCACTGGTGGGCGCGGTCATTCACGGCGCGCGCGCCATGAGCGCGTAATCGCGGCTTAAGATCCGCTATCCCACATACAGTGGATGTCGTAAGAGGCGACAGGGGAAAACTGAAACAGGGCATTATATAGCAGCATCTACAATAAGAACGCAATAATAATAAAAAAAATTGCGTTTCCAACCCGCCTGCCTACAACAAGTCCCTACTGCGGGGAGATCTAGTGAGAAGAAGCGGCAAGAAACTCACAAGTAGATTATTTTTCTACTTCTTCTACCACTACTCCTACTTTTTATACAAATAAGCGACTGCCTCGTTGATCTAGAGGTCGCAAACGCGATTGCTGATTATTAAGGGGGCCCGGGTTCGAATCCCGGGCGGGCCAAATTCAGTTATTGAGGTTTTCTGTCGAGAAATTCCTCAGTTTAAGCGTCCAACGTGCCTAAAGAAGTTTTCACTTTTTTTATAGAAGAGGGGCCAAACGAGCATGCGGCTCACCTGATGGTAAGTGACTACCGCCGCCCATGAACTACCGCAACACCAGGGGAATTGAGGAGTAGGCTCTTTTCTTGAAGGCCCCTAAGTCGTATCGTTGGTGGTAATCGAATCCACAAGGAAGTTGTGCGAGGAAGAAAACATCTTCTAAATCGCACAAAAACACTTCAAAAATGGTCTACGGAAGCTCATTATGTCGGCGTCAAGCGTGGCTACTATTACAAATATATTCTCCCTGTGAGGCATCTATGAGGGAGTCCTATGCAGTGGGCTTGAATGCATTAGTCTTAAAACTTACCAGCAAACACACTCGCAACAGCTGCCAACAGAAATGACAAAATCACAGCCGGGCCCGCGTAATTCTTTGCGACATCCCCGGCCAACACATACACTCCCACGCCCAGAGTGCTGCCCACTCCCAAAGCGGTCAAGTCTAAAGCGGAAAGAACTCGCGCGAGTCGGGCTACACCCTCTTCAGCCGCCTTCCGCCGGGAGACGACGCCATAGGCCAGACGTACAGCCTGGACTGCGCCCGCCTTTATTCCACCTGAAAAAGAAGATAGACAATTTATACATTTAGACATTTTCCATTTATAAGTGCTGTCATGGGTTTACTCAAGCCCTAGGGGTCGGGGCCCAGGCAAGATAAGAAACAAATGTGCGGTGTTTTTGGTATAAGTTATTTAATTGCAACATAAAAGCCTACAACAACTCAACACTACAAAACAATTAACTAAATAGTTTTAAGCATAAAAAAACTACAAATTATCCTAACCCTAAGATATGTAAGCACTAAAATTTTAACTAATTCTACAGCTACGCCTTAACTAGAAAAATAAAATGAAATATAATAAAACAAAATTTACCACTAGCTCTTTTACTTTAGTAAACAAGACTTATAAATAAAGTATCATTACAAAAAATGCAAACTTAATAAATAATAAAAGAAAAAGCAAAATCATAAAAATAAATTTCAATATTTTTATTCGGAGGTTTGAACCATGTATTTGAAGAAGTCGCCCAATGTACTTGGCCGCTATCCCGATAGACTATGCCTGCCGATGACGTTACTAATCAAATTAGGATTATCATCTCTCTATGTCCTCATGTTTTATGACGTAGTAGATTTTCTAATAATTCTTTGCCAGAGATATAAGAAGGCGTATGATCACAATTAACTTAATGGGCGTTTCCACAGACTGAAATAAGTGCATAATCTAAGAATACTATCGCAAAGTTACTCAGACTACAACATAAGAAATACTATTAACACTTACCCCGTTGCACCTCTAAAATTAACGTTCCACGAATAAAATATGTATTTAAATAATACAAAATTAACTGATACACAGCTATAATATGTACGTAAACTTTTGTGCATCAAACTTCCAATGTCTGACAAAAATTCCCACTTCTCGCGATCGCGACTGCGGCCCTCCGCTGTCCGTAACCAATTCCTAACCTCCAATATTTTTCCAAGTTGAGAAACATGACCCATCTCAATTATGACGTAAATCGTAACATTATTTTTTTTTATCATCACAGTGCCATACTGCAGTTATAAGAGTAATACAGTTGAAAGGGTTCAACAGACGGGGGTCAACTGGTGAGTGACCTTGTACCCCAAGAAACTGATATCACATCACGTTGGGTTCGGGTACAACGAGGTGGGCGTGACTCCTGAGAAAGTGTCGCACTCAAAGTCAGTCTGTAGCCCTTTTTTAAAAGAAAGGTTAGACGACTAAGATTACGGGTCCTTATGGAGTGGTCCCGGTCTTGACGTCAGGTGAAGTGGACTGTAATCGTTATGAAGGTGCAGTAGGAAATAAAACATCAATTTTATCTTCGTAATTTCCCTTATGTACCAGGCCGGAGCAGCGTGCGTAATTCTAGATCTTACGTACATTTTGTACAGTTTCACTTTGGTCTTCAATGGTAGCTTGGATGCCGGGACGGGACAGAGCCACCCGCGCACATCTGGCGTTGCGGACGACGAGATCGACGTGCGCGATCATACGCAGCATCCTGTCGATCCGGTATCCACGATAGGTCACGGCCTTCTCGTACTTGATCTCTAGGCCCCTGAGCGTCAAAGGTGGTGGGTCGTTCCTGAAGCGGCGGGTGAGTAGAGCGGTCGTCTTGCCAACATTGACGGCCATCCTCCACTCGTCCAGCCATGGTGGCAGCAGGTCCAGCAGGCGCTGCATCCTGGCAGTGGCTATGTGGGCTCTTCTGGACGATGTGAAGTAGGCACTATCGTCCGCGTATAGCGCCAGCTCATTGGGAGCCGATATATTCCGGCCTTGTTAGTCTTCCTGAATTTTTTCCTGAAACAGCCTGAAAAAGGCGTGTAATATGGCCTGGTCCTGAAAAAGGCGCCTAATTTGACCTGAGCCTGAAAAAGGCGCCTAATACGGCCTATGGTTGTTCAATTTTGCCTGGACGGGTAAGTCGCCCTATAGGCGGCTAATACGGCCTAGGCGTCTAAGTTGGCTTATATACGGCATTAAGGGTTTTACTCGACTCTCTAATCGATATAGAGAGGAGTTCTCTTGGCAGAGGTCGCCCTTCCGGGGGGCGGGTCGGTCTAAATTTCCAAATTACCAGTTTACTATCCTAGTACGCGAGCTATACGCGAAAGAGAACCGAACGCTGCGCGCCATTTCGTCATATTTTAACATCGACTTTCATCGTTGCACCCTTGTATTTTACCCCATCTCTTTACTTCTTTAAAACATGTGGTTACACAATTTTATTTATAAAAATTGAATCTAAATAACGCCAAGCGACATTAATGGATTCTACCCAGGCAAAGCCGGGGCGGGTCGCTCGTATTTAACACTTTCACTGTCCGGTTTGACAGACACAATAGTAACACAATAGCAATGACCTATATGTAGTGGACGAGATAGCGAAAGGGTTAATATAATCCTCGACGGGTTGTGTCGCACGTATAACGATATCACGTAAACAGAATGTGGAGCTGGAGTTGATTTTTCCGATCATAGATTTGCTGTATTTAAAAAACAACTCATTGTAAAATAATTTTAATAAGTGTATATTTAAATTTTTCTTTGTTACTATATTACGTCAAACATTCATTTTTATAAGAGAAATGTAGCAAACTATATAAGTTATTGTTGAGAAAGCAAGCGAATTTATCATGTTATATCCAGTTTTTTTTTTTGTGTGCAATGTGTCAATCCAACTGTTTTGTGCGCGTTAACTTCTCAGTTGTGTATATAGTAATGTTTATCGTATATCTAATAACTTTATTGCGTTGCTAGCTATACGTTTTGCCAGCAACGCAAATTTCAATCGTTCGTTGCGGTGAAAATTTTAGAGCACCTAATTTTTAAACTTGGCACCTAATTAGCACCTAAAACCCCCTAATTGAATTTTTCTAAATCCAAATTCCCGACTGCGTTACTGGCGAGACACAACTTAGCTTTTCAGTATGCGAGCAACGCGTCTTCGAACACCACCGCCGAAATTGATAATTGCAATATTAAACGTTGATTATCCACGTGTTCGAATGGTGAAGGAGGAAATTGGGAGGAAACTTGCACGTCTGAAAAATTATAAAAAAAAATCCTATTTCAAAGATATGTGAAATCAAAGAAATGAGAGGAAGGTTTGTACCCAGCACCAGGACGTATAGACCTACGAGTATAGACATATATTGGCTATTAGTTTAATTAATATCAAAATCTGTTAAGAGCTTTGCACTTAGTTTATATGTGATTCACTAACACTAAAACACACCAATAATAAATATAATAAAAGTAAAAATACAAAAATGAACAGTAAAAAATAATTCAAAACTCACAAAACAGGAGCCACATAACTGGCATTATATCTCTGAACACACTCCGAAGAGTCTTCATACTCTAACAACACTGAACTGTATTGTCGAACAAGAGTGATGACCAAACAATTGATTGACCCAGCAGACGATAATAATTTGAAACGCGGCAAATCATTTAGCGACAGCTACATTCGTGTCTGAATAAACTGAGGACATCATATTATTATATAAAAAATTGGTCAAGTGTGTGTGGCCATGTAATAAAGTTCCTCTATAGATTGGACACGGATTATCTTTAACTTTAAAATATAAAAATAGACATTAATATTTACTATCTGATTGTCCACTATTTGTGATTGTCCGCTATTTGCTTTTTACACCCTAATTCCAAGAGTTTATGAGACATCTGCCTAAATAGGTAATACCTCAAAAAAAAATGCAATAACTCAGCATATTTTTAAAAGCGTTGGAACAACAAAGGCTATCATAAAAAATATTTTTATTTTATAGGATAGGGTGACAAACGAGCACACAGTCCACCTGATGGTAAGTGGTACTGTGACCCATAGACATCTACATCTATACTCAATAAAGACTCAAGATGCAGATGCGTTGTCACCCGTGAGGACTAAGATGGAATGCCTGTTTGCCAGTAAAAAGGGTCTACGGTTCTCTACACTCACCATTAGAAACACAGCAGCGTTATGCTGCTATTTAACGTTGGTTTTCTGTGAGAGCATGGTCCTTCCCCGGTCGAGCCGACCCATTCGTGCTACAACTATACTACTAAATACTAATATAGCTGCAGCATGGCTCTACCACGTAAAATGATGGCATAAACACATTTCCTTAATTTTTTTTTTTTGGTTTCTTAAATATAAAATATGCGTAGATGTTTTTCTGATGATGAAGAATACTTGGAAATTGTTTTGTTTGAGTAAATTAAAAACAATAACATAACAACTGTTACTGGACACCGGACTAGCGATATTCTAGGTACTTATATTACAACTATTTTAATTCACAAATACATTACACACTGCGATCTACTCCCCTTCCCCTCTATTTGGTATTACCCCAAATAATCTAAATAATAATATTATTTAGATTTCTGTGTATTCCCCTCTATCCATTTTGTTTTATTTTTCTTGAGTATTCTCTACGTGTGTACAAAAAAAACTCATATCTCTCAAAGTGTTGGTCTTACTGAGATAAAAATAGGCTCATTCGGAAGGCAAAAAAAAGTCTATCTTACGAAAAAAATGAGTTCACATACTCGTTACTTTAAAAAAAATATTTTAGTACCATAACATTCCAAAAATTTATGCAAATCTGCAAAATATTGTGAATTACTGCGAAAAAACAACGCCGATTACACTTTTTTTTTTTACTAGATAGACAGTTTTTAAACCAAGGTACAATAAAACATTAAGTTTACAGCTGTATGCCTATCACTTTAAGAATTATTGTTGTTTGAACATAGCGTATGCGCAAACACAAAGGGCCTTTGTGGAAACCCTAAACAGGAAAACATAAAAAACACTTAACTTCCTTATTAGTTTTTATTCATTTGTTTTATAAAGTTGACCTACAATTAAAACATCTAAAGCAGTTGCTCAAAGTCACCACCTCCAGCTTGTAGGCAAGCTGAAGCTCTATGTGCCACCCGAGTTGATGTGCGTCTAATTATTTGTAAATCAGATCATCGACGACTGACATTATTTTCGTGATGATTTCGT